GTTGCCGTGAATACCTTTACATTTCTGTGTGTATGTGATATGAGGATAGTTTTACTTAAATGAAACGGTCAAATGCTCATGAAGTGACTCTCAGAGCAGTTCTGGAGATGTTCGTGTATTTATGTCCTCATTAGTGAGACGGCAGACGTTAATATCACCGCAAGTGTCACGTGCGCTTCAGTATGAGTAGTAAACAAAACCGTACGTTGAGACAGAAATGACATGCCGTCGTGTAAATAAGATAAATAACACAAGGCTATTTAGTTTGTTTAATAAAAGAACAAGGTATAGACCTGTTCTATAGAAAAGGTAACTTTAAATGACTTCTGTTGTGATCTGGCGCTATAGAGAAAATAAAAGTAAATAAAATGAACTTGATCTTCAAGGGGGGCGGGGGTGACTGGACTTTACTGGAGTACTGAACAGCAGAGCTTGTGCAACATCCACATTGCTGTAAACAGATGCGTTTTAAACTGCTGCTTTCTCACCGCTGTCGGTTTTTGATGTTTATTTTGTTATTGAGAGGAAAGCGCGCATTATGTATTTACATATCCATCCAAAAGCCACTCGGCAGCCTCGGGTTCGGCTGCATTTGAAGTGCTGTGTCTTCTCTTGAATTGCATCAGGAGAGCTGAATTACAGTCTTGCGCTACATCGCCACACTGGTCAAACCGCGTTATTGCAGGCTCTTACATTATGTCATATGAGATCAAACGACTATTCGACAACAAAAATATTTGTCGTCATTTTCTTATTGTCGACGTTGTCGATAATGTCGACTAATCGTTTCAGCCCTAGCAGATAGTTCAAGACAAGTTGTACCTTTTATCAGTTCATGCATCATGTGCTCCCATCAAACACAAGCCCTTGGAATTGCTGGCCATGCTCTACTGTTTGAGCTACTGGAATGTAATGGCAATAAATGTAATGCATATTATTAATAACAAATGAGATATACAAAAGTGCTGATTTAAAATACCACTCATTTTGCACTTTCACTTGTTTTGCAATATTATGGAGCCACAAACATGATATGCAGTAGGGCTGAACGATTTTGGAAAATAATCTAATTGCTTTTTTTTTTTTTTTTTTACCAATATTGCGATTGTAGAAAAAAGGTTTAAATTTAACCACTGTATTTTTAATTTAACCAATTTATTAAGACAACTTATTTTAGTCTTAAACAAAATAACAAATAAAACAAAATGACAAAATAAAATTGAAACAAATATCTCCTTTCTTATATTTTAAATGCAGATTAAATAAGTGTTAAGGAAACATTTGGCCTGTCTCCTGAGGCCACAGGAGGGTGCAATAAGCAAACGTGTTGTCACACGCCGATTAACCAGTGGGAAAATTCTCACCGACACAACCCTAATTTCAGCACGATAAACATGATAATCAGAACCAAAACAGATGTTTTTAGCAGGTCCGAGCTGTAATGGCGCAGCTCTATTCTGGAAAAGGGTGCGGGGAGCAGCAGCTCATTTGCATTTAAAGAGACAGGCCCGAAAAACAGCGTGTTTCTGCTTCCACTCAAAATAGGCATTTTCAAAATTATATAATAAATGATCTGTGGAGTATTTTGAGCTGAAACTTCACTGACACATTGTGGGGACACCAGAGACTTATATTAATATTGTAAAAAGGGGCATAATATGTCTCCTTTAAATTCGACTAATATTCCTGTTTTTGATTCACAGTCTCCTCATCACAGACAGGCACGGCACTCATTTCAGCGTGTGTTTGTGTGTTCTGTTGGCTGTCTGCTTGTCACTCATAACACGTGCCTTTTAATGAAAAAAGCTTTAAACTATCATGCATATTTCAAAAAAATTGTTCTATCGTTATCGATAACTGTGTTCCATCAGTAAATATCGATACCGTTTTATCGCCCAGGCCTACAGAAAAATACTATATATAATATATATATGGCATGCCTCAGCGCGCAGGTTTCAATCTCCTCATCACTGCGCGGTGTGACGCTCCGCTTAATATTCCGCTCTATGAATGCGAGTTCCGCTCATGTGTACTGCTCATACTCACCGGAAAAGCAAAGTCCGCTCAAATAACGCGCCGACAGGATATTTCTTTGTAGTATATTTGTTCCTCTCTGCAACAGCGCTACTGTGCTGTAACATATGGCAACGCTGGTAAAATGACGCTACTCTCTCGTGACGCTCTGCTCACATGCTCTGATAATAATAGCTTTGTAGGATTATACATTATTTGGTTAATTAGTTTAAAAAAAGTTATATCTGATTGTTGCATGGAACTGAATAAAAATAATATATTGATATTTAATATTAAGGTAACACTTTACAATAAGGTTCCATTAGTTAGTGTTAGTTAATGTAACCTATTAACTAACATGAACAATAAATTTATTACAGTATTTATTCATCTTTCCTAATGTTAGTTAATGAGAATACAGTTGTTCACTGTTAGTTCATGTTAATTCAGAGTGCATTAACTGTTAACAAGCACAACTGTTGATTTTAATAATGCATTAGTAAATGTTGAAATTAACATTAACTAAGATTAATAAATGCCGAAGAAGTATTGCTTATTCGTTAGTGTTAACTAAAGTAGTTAACTAATGTTAATTAATGAACCTTATTGTAATGTGTTACTAATATTAATATAAATTCTGTCCAATTTTATAGTGTTACTTTCAGTAAAAAGTATGTTGTGTTTTTTAAATTCATTATTAAAAATGAGTTAAATTTAAAAAGTCTTACAAAATTACTTTGTATTATATAATAAATAATCATTACAAAGTAGTTTCGGTTTTCGGTCAAGTGCATCCAGAATTTTCGAATTTTCATTTCGGTGAATCCCTAGTTCATATATATGTGTGTACACGTGTGTGTGTGTGTGTATATATATATAAAAACACACACACACGTATATGAACATATATTTACAATTTTTACACACACACATAAATTATAATTACTTACAGATTTTTTTTTTGTCTACTACAGATTATGTGTATTTTGAAAACTCCTCCAGTAACCCGTATCTGATTCGTCGAATAGAAGAACTCAACAAGGTGAGGTTGCAACATGTTATATTATATTCTGTCGTAATTTTTTATACAAAATGTCGTACTTCTCTTTTTTTTTTTTTGATGCAAGCAGATTTCTTTTTTTTTTTTTTTTTCTTTTGTTTATTTGGCCATGAGCTGATTTTGACCAGTATTAATTATAGTGCCAATATATCAGCATACATAATGAATCTGGTGTGTCACTGTTCTTACAGCCTAGAGTCAGACTAACTGTGATTGGTTGGGGCTTTTGATGTCCACCAATCATTTATCATACATCATCAATTGCATGTGCAGAGATTTGAACATTACACTGAACATGGATGATTGACATATGCCAGCTCTCTGCTTTTGCATTGTCACTCATGGCAGCGTAACAGACTGTCTCGGTCACCTGCTCCCCTCTGTTGTGCATTGTTGTCTACTGATTCACACTGGGTTGTTTGAGATGAAGATCCAGCCGAAAGAGACTTACATAATGCTGAGAATGACACAGGCATTTTTCCTGGAGCAGGGATTAAAATACTTTATATAACCTCATTTTGAAGGGCTATGAAGCTCAGCAGGATGTGTGTCTGTGTTCAATATGTATACGTGTTAGTCAGAATTCAGTGCTGTCTTGAATATACACAACTCTTAACCCACACTGTGTTGCATTAATGAGGAAGATGTGGTTTTAATTTCCGTATAGGGTGGTTCATTTTCAATGCTGGAAAATGAGTAGAAATTTAGTTATTAATAGGGCTCACAACTTTTTACTTGGCAGCTTAAATATTGGTGTACTTGCATGTAAATCATAGGCAGTATCATTCAGTTCAAGTTTTACTTTAAAAGTTATACTTAAATTGTGGGTTTTTGCAAGTACATGACATGAAGACAGTAAGAGCACTTAAAGCACTTACTTTACACACTGTATAGAGAAAATGACACCGTGTGAATGTACTTTCTAACACTGTTTCTCTTTGCATGTCTCCCCAAGACTGCCAATGGAAATGTAGAAGCCAAGGTGGTCTGTCTCTTCAGGCGGAGAGATATATCCACCAATCTGAACACTCTAGCCGATAGCAATGCAAGTGAGTTACCTTACTGTTTCAGTCTCCTCCAATTCACGCCTCTTCATCACATTTAAGATAAAGATACGGTGTCACTATGTAGATGTACTATTTGCAGTGAAACGCCAACTAGGATTTTCAGCTTTAAAAGGCATTGGGAACAGCATTTAATGCACCAAAGAGGATCAATCCATATATAATTAAGTTGCATATTATATGACCTTGCATTTTATGTATTTGAAGTCTTCAGTCCAAATGTAGAAGCAGATGTCTGCAAGAAAATCCTAAGATTTTTGTTGATCGTATTCCTCTATGAAATTGAGAATTTACATTCTACAATGAGTTGGAGGGAAAATCTGTGGAATTATGCTGAACCGATTTAAACTGATCATGATATCAAAACAATTCTTTTTTTTTTTTTCTAATTCATGTGCCCTCATAATCTTTAAAAGGACATCAGATGCCCATTTTCCTTAAGTTGATATGATTCTTTAGGGTCTATAACATACTTTGGTTAAAATTTCTCAATGGTAGTGTAAAACACCCCTTTTACCTTGTCAAAAACAGCTCTGTTCACAGCGAGCGGTTTCGGTGCATGTCGCTTTAAATGCTAATGAGCTCTGCTCACCCTGCCCCTCTCTTCTGTGGGGCGACGAGCCATTCTCACGAGACTGTAAACTTTAGCGGATTGTAAATGCGGATTTGTCGCAGATCTTGCTAACTAGCACATTATTAGGAAAAGCGATTTGCAAAGATTGCAAAAAAAAAAACTCACTTCTTCTGGAGGTGAAGCTGGATGACGAATGATTCGCGCGTACATAAACGCTTTTAGATAGATCAGGGGGGCGCATTCCCTTCAAAAACAAATGTAATCTTCAGCGGCTCAGTTGTCGGGAGTAAACGACGACTGCTATGTTCATTATTACATCCAACAACAAAACACCCCAGTCGCTTAGGAGACATTCTTGTCTACACTTGCTCCGGCGTTGAAACAGTGGTGGACTGATGACGGCTCACTCAGGGCTTTGTGTGACGTACATCAGGCCAGAATCTGTGAATGGCTTGATCTGAGAAAGGGGTTATTATTTTTGGGGATTTAAAAAAAAAAAAAAAGCACTGGGTGGATTTTTATCATTATAGGGTGGTTGTGTACACACACTGCCAACACACATTTATGTTCAAACACCATGTAAAAGTGAATTTTGCATCTGATGACCCCTTTAATCTAAAATGTACTCTTACTCGCACAACATTATATGTACACCAACGTAAGGACAATAACAGTAACCTGTCACTCACATGAGATTGGAGCAATTAACAAGCTTTTATTTCATGCCTAATTTATGGTAAAATGTCTCAGTGGAGTAGTACTAGTCTCTTGTATTGATGGTTGAGAGTGTCATCTAATTATCTGAAATATTTACTTGTTTACTAAATAAACACTCAAAGGGATGTGCATTTGTAGAATGTTTTGAATTGCATGCATTTTCCTTCTTCAGAAATCCAGAGATTTCTATTCAGGTACAGGTGCCGACAGGACAAAACAGAAGGATTTAGCAGAGGGACACCAGTCTACACAAGAAACAAAACTAGATCACTTCCATTATAATTAGGAATGGACAGGATGGTCGACTAGTAAAGCAATCGTAGATTTAGAGAATTTTTTATTTTTTTTTAAGTTCTCTAAGTTGCATCACTAATTTTAAAATACCTAGTCATTTGAGACATTTACTGCTAGACTTTTATATCAGCTGGTTTAAGTAGTGTTTCAGACATTAAGCGTGATCATCACATCCTTTTTTTTTTTGAGGACTATGTTGGTTTTGTGCACTAAAATGCTATTGATATTCAGCCTTATGATCTATTTTTGAGTATCTGTCAATTGTCCTGTTGAAAGAACTTGAGTTCTTGAATTCAGTTCACGCTGTTGTTGTTCTTCACACATACAGATAATTGTCTTTGTCCATTGCACCACACAATGAGTGGTGCAAATTCTCATTAATAATCTCAACATCGAAAAATGTCTGGAAACCGATGCCCTCTGTTGTGCTCCATTTTTAAAAACATCCTATGCGAGCGCCCTCTGAGAAATGCATCTGATAGGGTTGCTTTGATTAGTCATTCAGACAACCCACTGACTAGTTGATTTTGATAATGTGTAGCTTTGCACATCCCTAAATATTTGTATAACACAGCTGCAAACATACGACATGTCTGAAAGATTTTTTATTTCTCCGACATGCCTGAGGTAGTGGTTCATTTGTATGTAAATTGTGTGTACGTGAACTGCCGTAAAACTGTTGTAATGCAGTGTATTTACCTAACCATTTCAGAGTAGGGTCAGGTTTGAGTTGAGGAGGTTGCATTGGCATGGGCTGGAGTTAACGTTCAAATCCTTTGCAGTCATGAGGGGTCAATGTCTGCTTGGCGGCCTGTTTACTACTGAACGTATCCTCCTCTTTATGTCGTGGCACTCTACAGCACCAGCACTGTCCTGTTACACAAGATCAGGGCTCCCATTTACATCACCTCCTCCCTTCGCTACCTTCTGCCCATCTTCCTCCTTTAACCCCCCCTCCCCTCCCTCCCCGTCCTGAATGGGCTCCTCTGTGCTTATCCTCAGCTGCCATCCACCCTGTGCTCTCAGAACAAAAGAGCCTTCATGGGACCCACCGGACCACGTTGCTCAAAGGGTTAACACTAGGTTAACACTGTCTGGCTGCTGTCTTTGTCAAGGAGTGAAAGTGTTTATAAACGCGTGTATATGTGTGCGTGTTTGGCTCTGAGAGTGTGCAGTTATGATGGATTTGTCGTACATGTGTCTTGAGTGCTTGTCTGCTTGTGCATGTGTGAAAGAGAGCTTGTGGCATTTTTTTTTTAATGCGTACTTGTGCATGGGGGGGGTGTTGTTGCTCAATGGGGGGATGGGCGCCTCAGGTTTATTGCACAGGGTTTCCCAGGAAAGCTGGCAGGGACACATTGGCCAAGGGGAGAGAAAGGAGGGGGCAGGGCCACCGAGGTGGCAGGAGGGGTTAATGGAAAGGGGTGTGGTTTGATATCCTGCCCTCTTCATTGACAGGGTTTCCTTCGGCTCCGTGCAGGGGTGGAGTCCGGTCAGATCGGCTGATAAAGTCCTGCCAAGTCTCCTCACCTCACACGAGCATCTTTTTAAGAAATATCTCTGTTAGCGTTGCAAATTGGTGTTAAAGTCAAAAGTAATGTTCTTGAAATGCATTCAGTTCAAGTCATTTTGAGTTGGACCTGCACATAATCGTTTATTTCCCTTACAAGTCAACCATTCTCATGAAGGATATTTAAGTTACTTGTATCTGAATGAGTGTGAAATTGATCACAAGTTCACTACCATTACTAATAACCTAAAGGGATGTGTGTGAACTTAAGATTTGGTCTGTGTGTTCTGAGAGGAAGCTGATTCACATCAGAACTAATTAAGGCCATTAGCATCACACTAATATGTTTGCGTGTGTGTGTATTTTAGGAGACTTTGAAGAGGAGTCCAAGCAGCCTTCAATGTCAGAACAGCAGAAACACCAGCTCAAGCACAGAGAACTGTTCCTGTCTCGACAGTTTGAGTCTCTCCCGGCCACACATATACGGTAAATACACTCACAGCACTCACAGACACAAACATCTCTGGATTGAATGGTATAATCCCATCAGAGCCCAGACTCAGACTCTGTATATAAGGCAAATGATTTGTAGTGATAGTCTTATTTATACCATGCATGTTTTGGCTTATTGTTTTTCTACAGAGGAAAATGCAACGTCACACTTTTGAATGAGACTGATGCTTTAACTATCTACCTAGAGAGAGAGGTAAGAGTCCACCTGCAGGACAAGAGCACTCACTGTACGGTTTATCATGGAGTGTCACAAAGCTACCACCATCACTAAAGCCATGATTGAGGCTACGTTTACACGACAACGATGTAGTCAAAAACGGAAAAGTTTCACGTATACACGACAACGTTTTCAAAACGATTAACGTTTACACATATCCGCGAAAATGGCCAAAAACGCTGTATTACGTATGCCAGGCCAGTAGTTGGCGCTGTCACCTTGTTAGTAAACACTACCTGTAGGGAAGTGACGATTATATGTTGTATATGATGCGTCTCCGCTGTTGCTGTAATATTGGTGAAGTAAATCCACACTTTGCTGAAGAAGCGTTAGCAAACTCTTGAGCAGCAACAACAGTACCATGTACTCCGCCATTGTTGTGTACGTTTGTTCGTGCTTGCCTTTAAAATCGACACGTACTGTGCATGTCTACATACCTAACACGTACTACGCACGCGCATGACGTCACCGTTTTTAAAGATTCCCGTTTTGGGTGTTTACACGGAAACGACAACGGTGGCGTTTTCTAAAACTTGCACTTTGAAACCCATTTTCAAAAATATGCATTTTCAGTCCCCAAAATGCCGTTGTCGTGTAAACGAACAGGCAAAAAGCATAAAAAGTTTCCCGTTTTTGGCTGAAAACGTTGTCGTGTGAACGGCCCCTGAGAGACAAGCCATAACATGACAAGTGAATCTCATGAAATCTATTAAAAGTTCTGTCATGTTTCACTCCTGAAAAAAAAAAAACATTTTGTTATGCTTTAAGTAAACAAAGCTTGTTCTTAAGAACAGATTTGTTTTTGTATTGATATTTTCATAAGAATTAAGGTAATTTTTTCCCCTCCAACTCTCATTACTATACAAAACTACAATACTACAAAAAAAAACTATAATTGATTTATGTCAAGGTAGTATTTGTTGTACTGAATTTACATATTTACATAATTTACAAATATTTTTGAAAGAAACCTCTTTTTATCACCAAAGCTGCATTTATTTGAACAAAAATACAGTAGTGAAAACAGTAACATTGTGAAATAGTATTACAATTTAAACACTTTTTTTTTAATATGTAATATAATTTAAAATTGAATTTCTTCCTGTGATGGTAGAGCCGAATTTTCAGCAGCCATTACTCCAGTCTTCCTTCATGATCCTTCAGAAACATTTCTTATTATCAATGTTAAAAACAGTTGTGCTACTTCATATTTTTGTGGAAACCATGATACATTTTACATTATCTGATGAATAGAAACAGCATTATTTGAAATTGAAATCTTTCATAACACTATAAATGCTGAATGAAAGTATTAAAAAAAAAAAAAAAAGGATCCCAATTTGAACGGTAGTGTATTTTTAAAAATATATATTTTTAATATTTTTGGATTTTTTTTTTTTCTGTTGATATAAGGCAAAATCAAGTTATTAGACAAGTGAACACCTTTTGTTGATTTAAAATTATCAAATGGCCAACTGCATGAAGTGTTTGTGTTTTATAATGTGTGTGTTCTGTAGGACTGCTTCTTCTACTCTCTGGTGTTTGACCCAATGCAAAAGACCCTGCTGGCTGACCAGGGCGAGATCAGAGTGGGATCCAAATACCAGGCAGAGATCCCTGACAAACTGGCTGAAGGTCAGAAGATTGTAACATCTCCACGCCTTGGTGTTACTAAAAAAAAATTTATTTTGATGTCTAAAAAACCTCAAATTTTCAAGAAGCTCCAGTAGTGGCAATATCAGACGTCTGATGCTGAAACAGCTACAATGTTTACAATGTGTCCTATTTGCATGATTCTCATCACAATATTGCATCAGTACTTCAGATCCTGGTATTGATATTTTCAGCACACATTTTAGGGAGAGGTGTTGGATATTGAATGGCTAATTCAAAACTGATTCACTAATTCAAAACCAATCATTAATACAATGTTTTCCCCACTCAGGTGATTCAGACAATCGAGTGCAGGAGAAGCTTGAGACAAAGGTTTGGGATACTAATAACCAGCTGAAGGATCCTCAGATAGACCAGTTCCTGGTGGTGGCACGGTTAGTATTTCAGTCTTAGACCGATTATTATTGCTGCTTTAAAATGGTTTTATTCATTAGCATGATGTTAATTCAAATATTGGGTACTTTTAGGGCTGTTGGTACATTTGCACGTGCACTAGACTGCAGCAGTTCAATCCGCCAACCCAGTCTGCACATGAGCGCAGCGGCAGCATCTAGAGACATCACGCTGGTGAGAGAATGAAAGCATCCAATCACAATCTCTTCCTTAACTACTCAAAAGAGCGATTCATTCACTGCCACCTCACTCGCGTTTTCATGCACATCTGATATTCACACTGTCCCGTCTATCTGTAGTTCCACGCCATGGACACTCTGCAGAAGAATGGCTATGATCTCGCCAAGGCCATGTCGACGCTGGTGCCGCAGGGTGGCCCGGTGCTGTGCAGGGACGAGATGGAAGAGTGGAGCGCCTCAGAAGCCATGCTGTTCGAGGAGGCTCTGGAGAAATATGGCAAAGACTTCAATGACATTCGCCAAGACTTTGTGAGTTTAAAACGCCGTACTTGAGCATTTGCTCTCACACACACTGCACTATTTGGGAAAGCTCAGAAGATTTAAATGAATTTATTTGTTGTCCTGCAGTTGCCCTGGAAGTCATTAGCTAGCGTGGTCCAGTTCTACTACATGTGGAAGACTACTGATCGTTACATTCAGCAGGTAACAAACTTTCAGAGTTTTTTAAAAACCAAAATTAATCTTGATATGTGAACATTTATTCATGCATACGAATGCTATTTAAACCATTTTTTTCTCCCCAGAAAAGACTAAAGGCAGCAGAGGCTGACAGCAAGCTGAAGCAGGTGTACATCCCCACCTAGTGAGTATCTAGTGTCACTGCACCTTTTTTTTTTTTCTTTTTATGAATTCAAGTGGCACTTTCCAAATATGTACAACAAATTGGTGTCCATTAATAAAGGGCCAAATCCCATATTTTTTAAAAGAGGGTTACAGTTTTAAAGTGTCTTATGCTCACCACGCTGCATTTATTTGATCATAAATACATAAAAAATATTTATGTAGTGAAATATTATTACAATTTAAAATAAGTATTCTATTTGAATATATTTTAAAATGTAATTTATTTCTGAGATGGTAAAGCTGAAGTTTAGCAGCCATTATTGCAGTCTTCAGTGTCACATGATCCTTCAGAAATCATAATATGCTGATTTGCTGCTCAAGAAACATTTCTTCTTATCAGTGTTGTAAACACCTGCTTAATATTTTTGTCAAGACTGTGGTCATTTTTTTAAGATCTTTGATGAATAGAAAGTTCAAAAGAACAATAACAGTGTTCTGTAACAATGTGGAAATCTCTAGTGTCGATTTTGAGCAATGCATCCTTGTTGAATGAAAACAATTTCTTTAAAAAAAAAAAAACTCTTACTGACCCCATATTTTTCAATAGTAGTGTGTTAAACTGTTAATGAACACAATATTAGCACAGAATGAAAAGTAGCTATTTATCTAGTCTGTTGTATGTATACATTTAGGTTAGATTAAGATATTTTTTCTTCAACTTGTCAACTTCTTTCCTGTAATACGTTTTTGTCTGCTGTTTGAGAATCTAAATTTTGTTCTCTCCTTCAGCACCAAACCCAACCCCAACCAGATCAATGCACCTGGAAGTAAACCTGGCATGAATGGTGCCACTGGCTACCAGAAAGGCCTCAGTTGTGAAAGTTGCCACAGTGAGTCAACTCAAGTATTTAAATATAAGCTCAATTATTCCTGTGCATTATAATGATCTGTTTGACTTGCTGCTACTCCAGCTGCCCAGTCCCAGCAGTGGTACGCATGGGGCCCTCCCAACATGCAGTGCCGACTATGTGCATCCTGTTGGATTTACTGGAAGAAGTATGGTGGTCTTAAGACCCCTACTCAACTAGAAGGCGCCACAAGAGCTGGCTCAGTATGTTAACCCTGTCTTTTTTTGATGTACCTGTTTACTGTATTTTAAAATATTTAATGCATACAAAAATCAACAGTGAGAAATTTAGTTGGTTTCATTAGTCATCTTGGTGGCTAAATTATAAATTTCTAAAATTTCCAAATCGATTACTGAACATCATATATCTTTCCAATAGGATGCAGCTCCACGTGGTCACATGACCCGCCAGGAGGTTCAGGGCATGTCCCCGTTTACCAGCAGCGCAGGGAGAGCTAAACTTCTGGCTAAAAATCGGCAGACCTTCATCCTGCAGACCACTAAACTCACTCGAATCGCCCGTCGGGTGTGCCAGGACATCCTGCAGTCCCGCCGAGCAGCTCGACGCCCCTATGCTTCCATTAATGCCAATGCTGTTAAAGCAGAGTGTGAGTATTCAATTGCAAACATACAAACTTGTTTTCTCCCTCAATTTTTATGCAGTAGCATAAACATGTGTTTTTTTTAATCTCCAGATTTATGTTTTGACTGTTTCTTTTTCGCTTTTTAGGTATGATAAGACTTCCTAAAGCAGCAAAGAATGCTATGAAGAACCGCCTTATTCCTCGACCGTCCCTCATCAATATAGTTAAAGAATTGGGTATGGCTTCAGTATTCAATCAAAACCAGAATAGGGATTGAAAAACTATTTTAACATGGGAAAAATTAACACACATTGCCTTTAATGATGAGACATAAAAGTCAACTGTTTGCAGGCAGATTTGAATATTTGGAGTGATTGTGCTTTTTATTCTTCAGCTGTTCAAGCTCCTTTGAAACTCAAAGCCCCTCGAGGTGCTCCAACCCCTATCAACCGTAACCAGGTTAACCAGCCTCGGAGCGCATCCGCCCTACTGGGCAAGAGGCCCTTCGACAATGTGAGTATCACATACAAAGACACGTTAACCTTCCCGTAGGTAGAAAACAGTGTACACAGATCTAAGCGCTCTCATTGGCTGCAGGCTGGGGGTAATTCTTTGTCCACCAATGGAAGACCGTTCGCATTGGGAATGAGAGCAGCCACCCAGTCAGTCATTAAGAGGCAGAAGGTCAGTCAAGGAGATGCTCCGAATCCAGTGGTGTTTGTGGCTACGAAAGACACCAGGTATGTTTCCAAAACATCCCATCCACATGTTTTTGCGATTTCCTGAGACACACGTATTTGTGGTTTACAGAGCCCTGAGGAAACACCTGACTCAGGCCGAGATGAGGCGGGCGGCCAGAAAACCACACCTCCCAGTCAGAATCAAACTTCCCGTGCCGCCCCGGCCGCTTCCCGTACCCATCATACCCTCCAGCACCAGCGAGCCAATCGTGTTGGAGGACTGAACGATGTTCCAGTAGACCACATCCATTGCCAGAGCATGTTAAACCCGCCATCGTCAGCTGTTCTTCTTTATTCCTCGTCTTCTGTTGTCCCCCCAGATCCCATACGCACACCACGCTCACGTGCTCGGGATGATGACATACCCCATACTCTTACACCAGCATACACCACACTTCATAGCATTTTACTCCCAGTGTTATAGTTTAAGGTTTCGGTGCCCTGCTGTCCCGTTGCTTTTTTAAATTGCAAATCCTTTTAACAGTGTAATTTAAAGCAAATCATGTTCATTCTAAGATGGTGGAAAAGCACACTTTATTTTTCTCCAGTTCTGTCGTTATCTGTATAAATATTAACAGGATTTTTCAAGAGTTTGATTCTTGTGTGTATGGAAAGTGGGATTTGAATGTGTGCGGGAGTACATGGTCTTTTTACCGTCATTTTCTCAATTTCTTAGGTTGCTTATGTTAAAAACAAAAATCACCCTTTTTCATGCTATATAGACAAATAAATGATTGCGCTGCTCATTTTATTTCAGCCAGTACTTGTGGTTCCAGCCTTTCAGGCCTAGCTGAATTGTGGAAAGATGGTATCATGAAATGCATTGCAGCAAAAGTACTGCTCGCTTTACAGCAGATCTGCAGTCGAGTTGGTGTTTATTGATAGCGACCTGGTTTCTCAAACTTTTTTTTTTTTTTTTTTTGTGATCATGGATCCAAATCTCCTGCAGTGTAGCTACTCCAGTCAGTGATATTTGAAGGTCTCGTAGGGCTTAGTATGAAAACACGTTTGATGACTTAAGAAGGCTTCTGGTTGTAGTAAAGTGTTGAAGGTGTTCATGAATGTAAGGCGAATCTTGGTTTGAGGTGGTTGGATGTCGCAATCAGTTTGGCCTGTTTTGTACCTCAATAATTGAGCCTTTTCCATATATCACATCATGAACAAAGCCATAAAAGTTTGTTTTCCACGTCTGCTCTTTTTCCAAACATGTTGACGCACTCGCATTTGTGTTATAAAGGTCTTGTGGGCTACTGGGAAGCTATTGTTAGCAACTGTAGATAATGAGAGGGAAGAGATGTTTTTGAGTTTTTCTAGTAATGACTCGATTATAGGCTGATATTGATGCATATTTTTGCCTTATTATTAAGCTTTTTCTTTTTGAGCTGAACGGTTGGGCTTTTTTGACAGACTTCCTGGCTTGTTGAGATTAGTCAACACAATTTCATTGCAAATCGTTCCCCCGATTAGGGGTTTTGTAAGGTTTCTTAAACAAATGGAGCGTGCACTGCACACTAAAGACACAAATAAATGTTAACATGTCCCCTTTTAATTGTCACCCGTTTTTTATGACGGGGGTCCGTTACCCCACAATGTTTTGGCAAAGCTTGGGAAAAAAACATTAACATTGATCTCCATTATGGGATAGAGTTGGGAGAGGGAAGACTGGTTGATTTTAGGGTTTGATTCAAGGATGTGAAGGATTTCAGTTTTGTATGTCAATGAGAAATTTCTTTCAACTCACAAATCAAACTTTTTTTTTTTTATATTCCAGTGTCTCTGTATCCTTTAATGTATCTTGTGATAAGAAAATAAAGATCTTTTGTTTTGTGGTCCTGATCAGGCAGTGTTTCATGTTTCTTTAGAGTAGCTACATGGGTATTGATTTATTTGCACTTGCAGTGGACTTTATTCATGGTAGACACCATATTTATTTTTGTTTTTTGTGAATGAAAAATGAGGTTGTAAAGTGTGAATGTCTGGTTGGTTTGTACAGTTGTGTAACTTTAGATGATTTAAGGGTGCAATGTGTAATATTTACATAGATCTATTGACAGAAATGCAATATAATATACATAACTATGTTTTCAGAGGTGTATAAAGACCTTACTTAATGAACCGTTATGTTTTTATTACCTTAGATTGAGCAATTTATATCTACATACACCGCGGGTCCCCCCTTACATGGAAGTCGCCACCATGTTTCTACAGTAGCCCTAAACGGACAAACTGCTCTACACAGCGCGTTTCGTCACTTTGTTGTTCTTGCGAATAAAACACTGACACAATGATGAACAAGTACATTAATATTCGCAATAACATCGATTTATTAAATAATTAAGTAAATATAATTCTTTAATTTACCTTTGTAAAGAAATCTCATTGCTCTCAGCTGTCTTTACCGACGACCACTTTTAGTCCCGTGTCGGCCACCGTAGCTTCTCTAAAGGGTGGGGTGAGCGGGGGCACTGAGCCCGTTGGTTGCATTTCGCAACCTCACCGCTAGATAGCACTATAATTTACACACTGCACCTTTAACCGATGTAACATTGAAAATGCATATTTCCAAAAACATGCCTGTGACAAAACTGGAAAATGTGCTTTGAATTACATGTTATAAAACCTTAAGAAAATACTTGCTATTGCCTCATTTTCATTCATAATTACAAATTAAATATGGTGTCAAATAAAGACCAAAAGTGTCAAGGAATGCCGATGAAAGAGTTCACCCCAAAATAAGTCATTTGCACCCACAATTAGTTTTATCTTTCTTCAGCTGAACATAAAAGAAGATATTTTGAAAATGCTGGTAACCAGAGTTTCTGGTCCCCATTTATTTCCATAGTATTTTCCCCCATACTATGTAAGTTAATGGGGACCAGCAACTGTTCTGTCTTTTATGTTCAACTAAAGAAAGAGAAAACTCGTACAGTTTTAGAACAACTTAAGGGTGTGTAAATGATGACAGGATTTTTTATTTTTAGGTGAACTTTAGGAGCGTTGAAATAATTCAGCACATATCCTCAATTGCTTCACTTTGCTGATTTAATAAATTAAGATCAATCTTCAAAAGTTATGTTTATTATTGGGTTGCCAAACAACATAGCAACTTAATGTAGCACATTATGGAAAGCCGTTTTAACATTTAATCTATAAAGCGTACTAGTATCTATTTACATGCTACTAGTACTTATTAGCTACTAGTGCTTATTCTTTAGCTACTAGTGCTTGTTCTTTAGCTACTAGTGCTTATTCTTTAGGTACTAGTGTTTATTCTTTAGGTACTAGTGTCTTTTGTAAAGTCACTAGTACTTATTCATTAGATACTAGTTATTATTTATTAGATACTAGTACTTATTCCAATAGTGACTAGTATTTAATTATACTCTTCTTAAAAGAAAATAGAACTAGTTCTTATTTTTTAGTTACTAGTAACTTTTTAGACCAGATATCCTGAAATAAATAGATACTAGTACTTTTTAAATTTGCATTTCTGCCCAGTATGTTAATCGTATGTTGAATATTAATGAGCCAGCAACATATAGGAGAGAGATTAGACAGGAAACGGAAACGAGGAGATGGATGTACTTTTTTGAGGAAACCACATAGAAAAGAACAATCATTTGTACACAAGCACATATAAAACGTATTTTTGTCAGTTTTGTAAACACTAATTTCGTAAACATAGTAGCCTAATGTGTTTGTTGGTCATGGCAGGATGGAGATAAGACACCAATTTTATTATCTATTTTTTTCCTCCAGTAAAAACAATAAATCATATCAGGGCTGTACATTAACTTTTTTTGCATATAGCACTGGTGCTACAGACATAGAATGTTTTTACATTAATGTTCTGTACAGGGCACACAAAATCCAAACCTTATGGTTTTCAGACAAACATTTTCTTTATTTGGAAAAAAGGCCAAAAAGTTATTAATAATAATAAATTTTAAAAAAAACATTAGGTTTGCTGTAATTGTAGGGCTGCACAATTTGGCCAAAAATTTTGTTTTTTATCAATATAACTAATAATGTTTATGGTTATTATTTCTAAATAAAAACATTAAACAAAATAAGGAATATTACTTTTGTAATAACACCATTTCACTATAATATACAAAACGGAGTATTTGAGAATAAATATGATAATAAATATAGCTGCAAGCAGCAATTGCGGGGCCAAGCACTCCAGAGGCAAAACGAGAAGCTAAGCATGGCATGGAGCATCAGACCAAATGCAACAATGAGTAATAAAAGCAATTTTAGGATGATTGTAATTGAAATGGCTGAAAAATCATAAATACAACCACTAGTAATATGATTAAATGGCTTATCACTTTTGACCAACAGGTGGCGCTGTAATCAAATCATTTTGGTGTGTTCTGTGTGAGGTGACAATGGCACACACAAAGTTTGTTGTCATTCTAGGAGGAGTTCGAAAAAGTAGGTTTTCAACATTAATCAAAATGGCGGACAGGAAGTTCAGCCAATTATGGCAAAATTGGTATCGATGTTCTCAGCATGATGCAAGGAATCTATAAACATCAGTCTCATTACAATATTATGACGTATGCAAAAGTTATTAGCATTTTTATAAATTGCTTTATAACTTTTGACCAAAAGGTGACACTCAAACTTTTGAGTGCCATCAGGACATGGTGCCGAAGATGCATACCGATTTTCGTAATAACAAAGTCTTAGCGTTCTTAAAATATTTAATTTTTTGACAAAATTAAAAATGGCCGACGCCCAAAATGGCTGACACGAAAAAATTTGGTATGGTTCGACTCGGCATGATGCACCGAATCTAAAGAGACCTGTTTTGTGATTTTTGGCTAAACCATTCAGAAGTTATAAGCAAAAATATGCATTTTTCATATCTCCTGACCACTAGGTGGCACTGCGCCGAAACACTGCAGGTAGTCTCAGGTCATGCTTGTTATATCACACACCAAGTTTGGTCTCAATACGCCAAACCGTTGCGGAGATATAGCCTCACATCCATTTTTACGTGCTTTTCGTAGAATTCCTTCGTGCGTTATTCGAGAACGGTGGAACGAATCAACTTGAATTCCATAACGTTTTGCCAGCATGGTCTGAAGATGATCTGAGCCAATTTTGGTGAGAATCAGACAAACCGTCTAGGACAAGTTCGAAAAAGTAGGTTTTACGAACAATTAAAAATAGCGAAAAAAACTAAACCTTGCGATTTTTTAATTTTGGTGTTCATTCGACTCGACATG